CGAGAGGCATGCAGCTGCGGAGAGGCATGCTGCCGAAGCCCCCATCCAGGGGGTTCTTGCCCCGACCCTTCCTCTTCTTCGGCTTTATTCAGCTTTGTGAGTCAGAGAAGACAGGAGAGAGGTCACTTACCTGTAGGATGAGAAGGAACAGGAAGTAGGTGTTGGCAACTTCCTGGAACTGCTCGAAGAGGTTGACAGGCAGGAAGGTGAGGATATTGTACTTGGAGGTCTTGATGCAGTTACTCTACGGCAACAGGAGAGAGACGCTGAGAGAGGCCCCCGTCACCCCAACCTGGAGCCAGGCTGGGGCTGCCTCTTCCTACTTCCCGAACCTACCGCACACACTGCCTCTCCAGCAACCCAGGTGTGGGACAGGGGGAGGAGGAGGGGGAAAGAAAGTCTCTCCAGGCCAATGTATTTTGCTTTAGTGATAGAAAGCCTGAAAAGTCAGCCCAGCAGCAGATGGGAACTGGGCCAAAGATGATGCTTCCCTGCCTCCCTCCCGCCCCCCCCCCAGCACCCTTCCCTCAGCCACCAGCCTCAGCCTCAGATCTTCCAATACCCTTCCCTCCCAGCTCTGGGAAGAGGGACCACTTACCGCATACTGGAATTTCTCATTGTATTCACGGTCATTAGCCCGCGCCCTCCGCTCTTCTTCTGCAATAGAATGAGGCTGAGGTCAGAAGGAGCGAACTGTGTCTGGCCTACTCAACCTTTGTGAGGGTTCCACAGAACACAGCTTTGGTGATATTAAACTCTTTGCTCTAGTCCACAGTTTGCCAACGGCAAACAGGGCCCCGCATGCTACTCCCCCACTTCCCTTTTAGAGACAAAGTCTCACTGTGTGATGCAGGCTGGCCTCCGTCCTCCTCAGTCTTCCAAGTGCTGCGCCTCCACTCCTCAGGGCAGTTCTCTGCTCCTAACTATCAACCGTCAAGACCTTCCAGCCGGAGCACTCAGTCCCCCCCCTCCCCAGCATCCCCAGGTCCCTCTGCTCCTGTTAATAACACGTCCATCACGACCATCAAGGGGGGGTGCTGCCGGCACAAAGCTCCCTTCCTCGTGGAGACCACTGCAAACCTACTCATCGCACCGTTCTCACCCTAATCTGCGGAGGAGCATGGTGGGTGGTGCCGAGACAGAGGGGGTCACAGTGCCCTGGAACTGCTCTGCGGCAGCATCCCAGGCCCACGTGCAGTGTCTCTAAAGGAGCCTCTTGTCACATGTCACCATCAGCAGTTTCTGACTGGTGGACAATGACATCATCTTATTGCAAAGCTCATCTTCGAGTGTGGGTGTGTGTGTGTGTGTGTCAGAGATGTGGGTCATGCAGACTGAGCAGCAATGGAGAGAAGATGAGCTACACTGCGATCTTTCTTCTACCACATACAGATGTTTTCCTTAAACGGAAATGTCACTGTTAACGACCCTTCTTTAGCTGCACCTAACCTAAACCCTGAAGACCCCCAGGCTGCAAGTGCCAATTCCAGGGCTAAGAATAAGAGATGTCCTACGAAGGGGTCCCTCCGCAGACTTAAAAAGGAGTAAACTGGTTATGCAGTAAGCCTGCCACCTTATATTTGACCAAGAATCCCAGGTGATAGTCTAGACCTCTTCCCCCAACAAGCACAATGCAGTAACAAACTCCAGGCCACAGAGTCACCAGACAAACCAGACACTTGACAACCAGAAACTTCCCTCAGAGGGTCCCCTTGCCTACTGAGTCCCTAATCTCCAAGGACCATGCAAAAGGAGGAGGAGGATCCCAAAGGGCCTGCAAAGAGCATGGGGAGGGAGACCGAGGACAAGGAAATGCGGAGGTCAGAGGAGGCAAATCACAGATGTGAGAGCTGCCAGACACTGTCTCCCCGTTACCTGTCCCCCAAGAGGGCTTCTTCTGGCTCCAAGATGGAGGCGCCCCGGCCCGGGCCCACTTCTCGGGCATCTCCTTGGGGACCGTCATGATCCCGTTTTAAGAAGGCGCACTGTGTCCTTGGCCTCAGCGGCGCCTATGGGGCGGCCCCCCGGGGAGGCGCAAGAGCTGCGGCCACGCAGAGGGGAGCCCCGGCCGCTGGGCGCGCGCGCCACCCGCAGCCCAAACCATCCTCGCGGCCACCTGCGCCTGGGACCACCAGCTCTGCAGGAGCTCCACTCCCGAATCCCACGACAGAGGCGGGAGGTGGGGCTTTGAGTGTCCGGAACGCGGTGCCCACGCCCCAGGCTCCGCCCCACCCGCGCCCACTGCAGAGCTGAAGTCTGCCAGTGCCGCGTAGGCGAAAGCCAGCGCGCGGCCCCGCCCCCTCCCCCAGCCAATGCCGGAGAGCCGACCGCCCGCGTTGTCCTGGGCAACGGCTTTCAGCCCACACCCCCCTCCTTCCGCGGGAAACCGAGGAGGACTCCGGTGGGTAGGCAAACGAGGCCAGAGCCCAAAAGCCCAGGCCCAAGAGTAGGAGCTGCAGGTGCTTTGAGTCCTGGCTGGTGATTAGCAGTCCCAGCTGAACATCAGCCCAAGGATGAAATGAGCAATTCGGTTTCTTAGGATATCCCCGCCCCCCCCCCCGCGCGCCCCAAGACGCCTAAAGGGCTTAACCCCCCTTTTCTCGGAACCATTACTAGTTGTCCCTCTTCCCTTGGCTCCCTAAGTCATAATAACAGCCACTTTCATCGCGGTCCCAGAGACCCGCTCCTTGCTGCTCTTACCTGGGGGACGCTTTTTTGCACACAGTGCCATCTCACCCAGCAAGGTTCCAGCAATCCCATGGGAGACCCTGCAAGAAAGCAACAGACGCACGTGGTCGAGAATTCTTCATTCCCCGCATGAGACCCAATCTGAAGATCATCCTAGCTATGCCCCTGCCGTCCCCGACAGCCTCCAACTCCATTAACGCTCTCCTCTTCCGGCTCTGATACGGATACCTGAGTGAAAGAGAGGGTCTTCCCTCTGTCCTGAATAACATGAGGGGACTGAGAATTTACAGAAGCCAAAACCTATAGAGAAGGGCCTAGAAGAGACCAGATACTGACAAGTGAGGTGCTCTCAAGGTATCTCCCTCAGGAACTAATGGATGTCCCATGTGCCCTCCTGGTAGCAATGAATGCAGCCTGTACTAGAAAGCAGAATTTCCCCTCGCAGGTTGGGTGGAGATATCATGAGCCAGGAAACACCTGGCAGAGCATCAGGAAACCGGGTGGGCACGTCCCACCCTTCTAGAAAGCTCATAATGTCCCCACCCCCACTTTCATTACTGGGACTTCCATTATCACCTTCTCCCCGGAGGGGTTCTCATCAGAGACATGGCCACCACTTCCTGCAGACAGTCCCCAAACCACTTCCTTGCAATCGGGGCCAGCCCCTCTCTGGGGCCATCGGAGAGGTCTTCGCAACCCTGCTGAAGTCACCTTTCTTTCCCCCAGGCTAGTCCAGTCAGTACGACACTAGATACAGGCTCAGAGAGCCTCTGCTTCCTCCCACCCTTCCGTGTTCTTTCTCCTAAAAAGGTGCAGTCCTGGCCAAGGAAACTCTTCCTTTAGACGGAAAGTCTTCCCCCCTCCTTGGTTGCCCTGCTTCCAGCCTGTCAGCCCCAAGAGCTACTAATTGCCTGTCTGCCCAATCTCTATAATTACTGACTCTGGTCCCAGCCCAGTCACCCACACCAATTCTCCCTTCACTAACACACACTCCCTCCTTGACCTCAGAGCAGACAATCCTAAGGGGCGTAAGTTCCTTTCACTCCTGACTCTCCACAACTGTGGCAAGCAACGGGGCTGGCCCCTTGGCTCAGGAAGAAAACCTCATGCACATTTTGGTGATGCCAAGCCCTCTTCCAGAGCCCCAGCCAGGGTCTCCACCCAATCTAGAGCATGAGTCATGGGAGGGTGGGGTGCGAAGCCAGAGGTTAAAGGAAAGGATGCAGGGTGGGCATTATTGGCTCCTACCTAGCCCCACCCTGGTGGGAGGCTATCAAGCATCGTTAGCCCTAAGATCTGCGTCTTCCTCCTTTGAAAGTTAACAGTGGAACTAGCTGACCACCAAGAGCCAAGTCTGGACACGGAGCAGGAAAGTTCTTTTACCTCTAAGACCCTGGGGAGACTCCACACAAGTTTGCCCCAATCCTCGAAGGGGGCACAGTAATAGAAATCACTGGCAACAGGGTCCCCCTCTCAGGATATCCTGGGTTTTCTAAACCGGTTAGGCCCATCAGCCACGTCGCCTTGCCCCGTCACCCTACCCCAGCCCCCTCTGCAGCCACATCTGGGATAAAAATAGCCAGCCCTGGGAAGGAGGCAACGCTCCACGAAGGAAAAGGGCTCCTCCTCTGGGTCTGGCCTCCACTCCTTTCCGACCAAGAGTCTTCAGAGGAAACTAGCAGGTCGGTGAGGCAGGAGAAAACAACCACGCCAGGGGCCACCTTCCTTTCCTGGGCAAGGACAGTGTCCAGGACCCAGTGCACAGCTCTGAGCTCCCAAAGCTAACCACCCTGGCACCGTCGGTTTTCCTGGGGCGCAGAGACCTCCACCTTCGCGGGACAAACCCTATCATCCCCAAACTCCCTCTCCGGGCACCTAAAGGTTGGGACCAGATAACTCTTCGCACCCCAACTCTCCGCGCGCCCCTTCGGCGCCCCATCTTCCCAGCCTGCGCACAGCGACCGGCTCTCCCCATCCCGGGGAAGCCTTCTCTCCAGCCTCCCACAGCCGCTCGCCATGGCACCACAGCCCGGGCCTCCCAGAGCCGGCCCTCCCGGTCCACACCCCTGGCCCGCCGCGCCGCCTCACCTCAGCGCGCGGCGCTCGGCGCTCCGCCCGGCGGCCCCGTCCAGCCCATGCCGGGGGCTGGGGCGGGGGCGCTCGGCTCCGCTGCCCGCAGGCTCCCGCCCCCCAGCGGCAGCCCGGCTCTCCCCCACCCGGGCCCCGGCCCGCTACTTTGTGTCACTTTCGGCCGCGGGGCGGAAGTGACGGCGGCGGCGGCGGCGGCGGCGGCGGGCGGGGGGCGGGAGGGGCTTTGGGGAGGTCAGGGGCGCGGCGTGCGCCATTTTGGTGCGGAGGGGAGGGTCCCACGCTCCAGCCCCGGACACGCAGGCGCTCGGCGAGGCTGGAGCACGCTGCGATGCTGTTTCTTTATTTTTGGAAGCCTGAGACCGAGGGAATGCTGCTTTCTCAGCCAGAGAACATCTGCCGGGAGGAGCCTGATGAGGGAGAGGCGGTGAAGAAGCTCCTTAGCGCGCTTCTCTCCAGCCCGGGTCTGCTCCGCATCCCTCCTCGCCCTGGCTCACCTCCTGGCCTTTCAACCTCCTTAAGTGGCACAGCCCAGCGTTGCCTGGGTGTTGGTTTGTGCCTCAGTTTCTCTGACTGGTTGTCAGACGCTGGGAAGATGGCTCTGTCCCTTATCAAGCCCTTTGGATGGTACACACGCGCGCGCGCGCACACACGCACACACATATACAGATGGCTCTGCCCCTTACCACGCCCCTTGGGTGGTACACACGCGCGCGCGCGCACACACACACACACACACACACACACACACACACACCCCTTTCGAAGAACCATCTGGGGTGTCTCTGGAGTATAAGGGAGGCGCCCCTGTCAGGCCGAAGGTAGGAAGCACTGAGATTGCGGGAGCTGGCAGCCAGAAGACAGAGATACCTCCGAGGCAGAGCACTTGCCCAGGCTCTGAATTCATTTCCTAGGACCGCAAATTTTAAGTGGTTTTGGTGTGTTTTGTGGTGTTGTTTTGTTACTTTGAGACGGGTACCACTATATATCTCTTGACAGGCCTGGAAGTCTCAGAGATCCGAGTGCTAGGATTAAAGGCGTCCTCCATCACTCCCGACTCCAGCTTAAATTGGTCTTTTTGAGTGTGTTTGCTTGTTTGTTGGTTTTTTAAAAGAATCATTCTTGTTGGGCGTTGTTGGGTCACACCCTGTACTCCCAGCAGTGGAGTCTGAAGTCAAGGCCGGTATGATCTACATAAAAAGTACCAGTCTTAAGGGGAAAAGGACAAGGGCGCGCGGCGGGGGAGCGGGGGAGGCTGGGAGTCAGAGCATTGGAAACCAAGCTTCTCTCCAGAAGCCCCCGCTGGTCCCTACCCCTCAAAGGATGGTAGTACCTCTCCACCCAGCAGATTCTAGAAACCTTCCCAAAGCCAGCGGCCAGTGTGCACACCCCCTAGCGGCCACTTTAAGGAACTGTGTGCCTAAAGGCCCTCGGTGAAAAGACGTGTTTGTAAGAAGAGCCTGATCATGTTCTCTGGTTCTCCCCAGTTTAAGCAGGAGTGGGTAAACAGAAACATCCCGGGGCCTGGCATATTAACACAGAGAATATCTGTCTTGCAAGCTTGACAGGTCATGGTGCTCTTGCAGAGTGAGATAAGGTTGGCAGTCATCACAGCTTACATTCCAGCTGAGCTGGAGTTCCCAAGTCTGAAGCCTCAAGCTGAGCTGCTACCCAGCTTTGGAACTGGCTTTGGATCCTCAGGGAGGTGCAGAGCCACCAGGAGCTGGTATGTGGCTGTGTTGAGAGTGGATCCCACCATAGGAGCCACCACAGGCACCCACCACCAGCCATTACCAGCCCTGTAATGGAAGGCAAAAGGGAGATGTCGGAGGAGGTGATTCTCTGGGACACACCTCTCCTGAAGAACTGAGAATAGTAAGGCAGGTCTGTAGCAGGAATCTTAAAAGTTCTTATTAATAAAATCAAACCTGAGGCCAGTTATTGGGGTGAATGCTGGAAGATCAGAGAAGCAGAACAAGCCACAGCCACCTCACCTCGCCAGTTCCTCAGCTGATCCTGTTTCCTCAGACTGGGAAGCCTCTGAATCCTCATCCAAATGAATCTCAGCTGAACTGCTGCTCGAAAGCCTGAAAGCTTAACCAGTCAAAAGCTTCTAGTTTCTGGTCTTCACGCCTTATATACCTTTCTGCTATCTGCCATCACTGCCTGGGATTAAAGGCATGTGTCACCATGCCTGGCTGTTTCCAATGTGGCCTTGAACTCACCGAGATCCAGAGGGATTTCTGCCTCTGGAATGCTAGGATTAAAGGTGTGAGTGCCACCATTTTCTAGCCTTCGTATCTAGTGGCTGTTCTGTTCTTTGACCCCAGATAAGTTTATTAGGGTGCACAATATTTTGGGGAACACAATACCACCACACAGGTCCCAAACTAGTTCCTGTCGTGACAGATCCCTCAGTGAGCATGGGGTCACCTTCATTAATGCGAAGCTCTTAGGGAGGAGTCCCCAGCACAGCTTGGTCCAGCATCTAGTCTTGGGGAATTAGCTGAATAGACTTTTATGGACAGGGTCACTAAAGCCCAAAGAAGCAATATGGCATGCCCAAGGACCCCTCTGAATCTCCTATTTCCATGAAAGGGGTAGGGAGCAGGAGGGCTATGAAGGAAGGGAGACTTTGCCAGTTGAAGAAGGCACACTAGTTCCAGAGAACTATTTAAATGAAGAGAACTTGGACTGGGCATGGTGGCACACACCTTAATCCCAGCACTTGCCAGCCTGGTATATAGTGAGACCCTGTTTCCAAAAAAAAAGGGGGTGGTGGTTGTGGTAGAGAAGCAGGGACAAAGCTATTAATAGAAGTGACTGGAGGACTGTACCAAGGGAAACTGTCTCCCACCTGAAGACCTCAGGGCCCCAGGCAGCAAAGTATGTGAAGAGCCGTGGGCCCAGGTCCCGGGCAGGGTGGAGCAGAAAGCCACAGTTAGCATCCATGGGTAGTCCAATGGCAAGGATCAGCAGTCCCACCACCACAGGCTCCAGACCTGCAGGCACTGCTTTATTCCGACTGTCTGGGATCACTGACAGCCCCACAATCAGCGTCCAGGTGCCCAGAACCTTGGGGTTGATGGTGCTAGAAGGAAACCCGTCAACTGCCAGGTGGGTGCTTCATCTGTCCTCCCTCGCTCGAACACTTCATGCCCCCACCTCTGTGCCATCTGTCCAGCAGAAGCTAGGAATGCCGAGGTAGAACTAACTACATTCCACCCAAAATATGAACAAATGGGAAAAAAAAAAAAAGGAAGTGCTGTGGGATGTTCTGTATGGCAAATGTGTTGCTGATTGGTCAATAAATAAAACACTGATTGGCCATTGGCTAGACAGGAAGTATAGGTGGGACAAGGAGGAGAATAAAACTGGGAAGTGGAAGGCTGAGGCAGAGAGACACTGCCAGCCGCCACGATGAGAAACAGCATGTGAAGATGCCGGTAAGCCACGAGCCATGTGGCAAGGTATAGATTAATGGAAATGGATTAATTTAAGCTGTAAGAACAGTTAGCAAGAAGCCTGCCACGGCCATACAGTTTGTAACAAATATAAGTGTTTACTTGATCGGGTCTGAGTGGCTGTGGGACTGGCAGGTGAGAGAGATTTGTCCTGACTGTGGGCCAGGCAGGAAAACTCTAGCTACAAATGGCGTCCAACGTAGTGGCAAGAGTTTCCACCTAAAAACTGAGAAAAAAGATTCTAAAACGGATCTAAAAACAGTTTCTAATTGTCTCTCTCAAATGAGCGGCAGCTGCGGGTTTGAGCTACTGGTGGGTACCTGGAGTGCGTGCTTGACCTGCAGAATGGCAGGAATGAGGCCTCTGCAAGTGGCACATTAAGCTGTGTGGTAGATTTAGCCTTTGCTAGTACAAAACAAAAAAAGAGGTTTCTGGGCTACACGCTGCTTGGATAAAAGTATAGACCCTCGATAGCTCCTAGAGCTGGTGGTAAACATCACACCGCCATGTTGGGAAGCTGAGGTGGGCGGAGCCAGCAGCCACAGCTGCTGCAGTTTAAAGCAATAATAGATTCACAATAAGACAGATTCAGATGTAATAGTTTACAATGTATGTAAAATATACATAGGCTTAAAAGAGACAAAAAAGGTGATATAGGGTGATATATACAGTTATATAAACAAATACATAGTTTTAAAAAATAAAGTCTTTAAAGAGACAATAAAATTAATATAAAAAAATAAGCCACGTAAAAATGAATATTACACAGAGAATCTGGATTGTGTTGTCTTTGGGATTTTTAACTGCAGAAAAACATTTGATTGTAAAAGCTGTTGAGTTATGCCAAAATGTATATTTTAAAGGTACCTTGACTTCAACATTTGGATATAAGGATATGTTGCTTTGGAAAAAAGTCTGTTTTTGTTCCCACAGAAAGCCAGAGGCTATGGATTTGTTCCAGATTAAGATACATCAGGTTTGACCAGCCAAGACCCCCTGAAAGGTCTCCGATGACACCATGGCCCAGATGATCCAACATCCAGAATGGTTTCAAGGCAACTGGCTCAGATGATACAGCCTCACGGACTACTCCATGATCCTAAAATTTTCTTTGTGTCCTCATAAGATACAGCGCCCCCCTCCAGCAGGAAGTAGTAAGAGAAGCTACACCCAAATTCCCAAATTATATGGAATTTTACTTTGTTAAGGTTAAAACCTTCCTTTTTGGAAAAAAAAAGGGGGGGGGGGGAGTGCTGTGGGATGTTCTGTATGACAAATGTGTTGCTGATTGGTCAATAAATAAAACACTGATTGGCCATTGGCTAGGCAGGAAGTATAGGTGGGACAAGGAGGAGAATAAAACTGGGAAGTGGAAGGCTGAGTTAGAGAGACACTGCCAGCATGTGAAGATGCCGGTAAGCCACGAGCCATGTGGCAAGGTATAGATTAATGGAAATGGATTAATTTAAGCTGTAAGAACAGTTAGCAAGAAGCCTGCCATGGCCATACAGTTTGTAACCAATATAAGTCTCTGTGTTTACTTGGTTGGGTCTGAGTGGCTGTGGGACTGGCAGGTGAGAGAGATTTGTCCTGACTGTGGGCCAGGCAGGAAAACTCTAGCTACAGGCTGAGGTCCCCATAAAAAAGTCAAAGGTTGGGACTCAATTTTCCATGCCTTCCCTTCACACTTACCTGATCCACAAAGCCATTGATCAGGGACAGACAAGGGGAAGGGTAGGCGGCAAAAATGGAGGCTGTCTCTTTGGGACCAGTCACTGTCAGGTTCCCACCTGTGTAGTGCTGGAGGGCATCTTCAGGAGAGAGAGACACTCAAGAGTTTCTTTGTTTATCCCAAACCACTGCAAAGCACCCCTGCCTTCAACAGCTGCCCCCAGTCCTGTCCCCTCTGCTACCAGAGGAGAGAATGCAGGGAACTCCTGAGGCACAGAAGCAGACAACAGTTACACAATGCAGCAAATGGGAGCATGGCCCAGGGGAGGAGCCCACCAAGCTCATGGCCAGAGGGAAGGCTGGGTTTAGGTGGGCTCCTTCACAATGGGGGAAAGACAGTATTAGGAACCACTGCCAAACACTATCACAACACCATGCCTCCTCCTACAATGCTTATTTCCATCACATCGTTTAAACAATTAAGCCTTGCTGTGGATATCATTCTGTATAAATAAAACACTGATTGGCCAGTGGCCAGGCAGGAAGTATAGGCGGAACAAGGAAAGAGGAGAATTCTGGGAAGTAGAAGGCTGAGTCAGAGAGACACTGCCAGCCGCTGCCATGACAAGCAGCATGTGAAGATGCCGGTAAGCCACGAGCCACGTGGCAAGGTATAGATTTATAGAAATGGATTAATTTAAGATATAAGAACAGTTAGCAAGAAGCCTGCCACGGCCATACACTTTGTAAGCAATATAAGTCTCTGTGTTTACTTAGTTGTGTCTGAGCGGCTGTGGGACTGGCGGGTGACAGAGATTTGTCCTGACTGTGGGCCAGGCAGGAAAACTCTAGCTACAAAGCTTCAAAAAGATAATGATTTGGCGACTGGAGAGATGGCTCAGTGATTGAGAGCTCTGGTTGCTTTTGGAAAGGATCTTGGGTTATCAGCAACCATATGGCAGCTCAAAATAATCTGTCACTCCAGTCCCAGGAGATCTGATGCCTTCTTCAGGCACCCCATGGACTTGCATAGACATACATGCAGGCAAAACATTCAAACACATGAATTTTTCTAAGTGATTTTTCAAAGTCACACGTGAAGCCAGGTTCTGAACCTGAGTAGATCTCCTGGTTTCCCTGCAGCACACTGTGTCTCCAGGCTGAGGCCGATTGAGGCTGAGGCTGGGCATGCTAACACAGTATGTGTTGAGAGACAAGCTGATGAGGTCCTGAGCAGAGATGAGGGCTTCAGGTGTGAGGCACCTTTTTGTAATAATGGGAATTACCCTCAATGCTCTGCTATAGATTTCTGCCTGAGTGAGCTAGGAGTCTGGTGTGAAGAATGGTGTCTTAGTCAGGGTTCCTATTGTTGCAACAAAACACCATGACCAAAGCAACTTGGAGAGGAAAGGGTTCATTTGGCTCACACTTCCATATGGCTGTTCACTACAAAAGGAAGTCAGAACAGGAGCTCAAGCAGGGCAGGAACCTGGAGGCAGGAGCTGATGCAAAGGCCATGGAGGGGTGCTGCTTACTGGCTTGTTCCCCACGGCTTGCTCAGCCTGCTTTCTTATAGAACCCAGGACCACCAGCCCACGGGTGGCCCCACCCACAATGGACTGGGCCCTCCTCCATCAATCACTAATTAAGAAAATGCCTACAGCTGGGTCTTATGGAGGCATTTTCTCCGTTGAGGTTCCCTTCTTTCAGATAACTCTAGGTGGGAACAGTCAGCTAGAGGAAGGAGAGGGACTGGATGAGGTCAAAGGCGAATCTCAGTCCAGGGCACTGGTCAAGCTCAAGGAGATAATGCCCGTGAGTCACCAAAAGGATCTGCCCCTCCCCCATCACTCATCACATGCACCTTGTGTGGTCCCACGTTCAGACCCCACCCTACTCACCTGAGACTTTGCCTGCCACGCAGATAGCTATTGTAACAGCCAGAGAGCTGGCCAGAAACACTGTGAAGAAGTCGCCTTTGTTTTCTTCGCTGGTGACAGCGTGGTCCACAGAACGCTACATGGCGAGCCGGTGGGTAGAGAGGTGATGAGAGATGGAGAGCCCAGGAGACCAATGGGAGGGAGAGAGAGAGAGAGCAGCTGCGGGGAACCACCAGGAAAAGTGAACACATTTGAGAAACTCAAAAGGAAGGGAAAACAGAGGGAAAGGAGATAGAAGTGGAGGCCAGGAAAGAAGAAAGGGGAGAGATGAGAAAAGGAAGAGATCAAAAGGGAGAGGTAGGAGCCAGATGTTGTAGCTGAAGTTTTCCTGGTCCTGCCTGGCCCACAGTCAGGACAAATCTCTCTCACCTGCCAGTCCCACAGCCAAGTAAACACACAGAGACTTATATTACTTATAATTTGTATGGCCATGGCAGGCTTCTTGCTATCTAGTTCTTATATCTTTTTTTTTTTTTTTTTTTTTTTGGTTTTTCGAGACAGGGTTTCTCTGTGTAGCTTTGCGCCTTTCCTGGAACTCGCTTTGGAGACCAGGCTGGCCTCGAACTCACAAAGATCCACCTGGCTCTGCCTCCCGAGTGCTGGGATTAAAGGCGTGCGCCACCACCGCCCGGCTAGTTCTTATATCTTAAATTAACCCATTTCTATAAATCTATACCTTGCCACATGGCTTGTGGCTTATCGGTACTTTACATCTGCTTCTCATCACGGCAGTGGCTGACAGCATCTCCTCGCTCAGCCTTCCACCTCCCAGAATTCAAATGGCGCTCCATGTGGGGCAAGAATTTCCACCTAAAACCTGAGAAAGAAGATTCTAAAATGGAGCTAAAAACAGCTTCCTAGTTGTCTCTTCCAAGTTAGCTGCAGCCTGCATGCATGAGCTACTATATTGTGGGTTCCTGGAGTGAGCACTTGACCTGCAGTATGGCGGGAATGCAGCATCTGCAAGCCGCACATTACGCTGAGTGTGGATTTAGCCTTTGCTAGTACAGACTTAAAAAAAAAAAAAAAAAGAGGTTTCTGGGCTACACACTGGTTTGATAGGACTGCTTCAGATAGTTGATGGTGCACATGGCTCCAGACCCAGAGCTGGTGGTATACGTACCACTGCCATGTTGGGAAGCTGAGGTGGGTGGAGCCAGCAGCCACAGCTGCATTTCAGTCTTAGAAATGCTGCAGTTTAAATCAATAGGTTCACAATAAGACAGATTCAGATAGAACAAGACTTTAAATGATTTACAATGTGTGTAAAAACGTACATAGGCTTACAAGATAAAAAAAAGGAATATAGACAGTTATAGTAAACAAATAGAAAGTTTTAAAAAATAAAGTCTTTAAAGACAAAGTAAAATTAATATAAAAATAAGCCATGTAAATATGGATATCACACAGAGAATCTGGATTGTGTGGTCTTTGGGAATTTTTTTTTTTTTTTTTGGTTTTTCGAGACAGGGTTTCTCTGTGTAGCTTTGCGCCCTTCCTGGAACTCACTTGGTAGTCCAGGCTGGCCTCAAACTCACAGAGATCCGCCTGGCTCTGCCTCCCGAGTGCTGGGATTAAAGGCGTGCGCCACCACCGCCCGGCTATCTTTGGGAATTTTTAACTGCAGAGAGATATTTGATTGTAAAGGCAAATGAGTTAAACCAATATGTATATTTTAAAGGTACCTTGACTTCAAAATTTGGATCTAAAGATATGTTGCTTTGGAAAGGAGGCTCTGCTTTTGTTTCCACAGAAAGCAAGAGGCTATGGATTTGTTCCAGATTAAGATACATCAGGTTTGAACAGCCAAGACCCCCTGAAAGGTCTCTGATGATACCATGGCCCAGATGATCCAACATCCAGAATGGTTTCAAGGCAACTGGCTTAGACAACAGCCTCATGGACTACCCCATAAGCCTAAAATTCTCTTTTGTCCCCATAAAATGCAGCACCCTCATCCAGCAGGAAGTAGTATGAGAGGCTATGCCCAAATTCCCAAATATACCAAGCTGGCTTTGGAGATGGAATTGGCTTACTCCTTCTCTAAACCCAAGCATATTGCTAAAAAAAAAAGGTTGAGAGATTTTTCTGTCCCATATCAGAAGAGCCCTCTGATATATAATAAATAAATATTTTTATTTAAAACAGGTTGATTATAAATACAATCTCTTTGTAAAAAAGAAAGGAGGATATGCTATGGAAATACAGGATGTAGATAAGACAGTATAAAAGGGTGGATTATTGAACCTACTTTTAAAGAGCAACTTGTTTAAAATGTTTTACATTGGTATAGATTTTAGTTTATTGATACAAATTTAAAGTTAATTTTGTTATACTGTATATATATTTCCACTCTTGTTTAAGATATTATGTTTATATAACTCATTTAAATTGTAATGTATAGTTAAGAAATACATATTAATAGTTTTTTATGATAATCAAACTTATAGTCATGTTAGTTTAGTTTTCCAGGTATATATAGATATATTTCAGACAGATAGGTGGTCTTCAAACACATCAAAGACCTACAGAATATGAAATTTAAAATGTTTTTAAAAATTTAGACTTTCTGGACAGTGAGACATGTCTGCTTCTGGCAGCACCGATTTACTTCAGAGAGGAGAATGGGCATCGAAGACACTCAATACGGAATTTATCTTCTTCTTGGCAAAAATAGCCATCTGGGCAAGAAACTGTTCTTGCATGGACTGCTTGATCAACTGGACATACAGGACCCATTAAGTGACCACTGAACTTTGCTTGATAAAATGATCCTTCAGGTTCCTGCTTCCCAGAGGAAACTGCCAGACATTCTACAGGACACAGAGAGAAATGACTGAGAGACTCTAGGCCTGTAGGCTGAAGACATATGCCCCAACTTTACAGAGGAACTTTGAATGACTGTCCAGGCTGCCAGCAGTCTCTGTCTACTCTTGCAAGACTCCCAAAAGTTGCTTGTGTCCTTCTCTTGTTTCTCAGGTAATATTATATCCTTCTGAGGTCTTTGATGTAGTTAAAGACTAGATAGTTATAATTTCCTTAGTCATGATAAAAGATAAGTTAGATATGACACCTTAGACTAACAAATATAGGATAGATAGAATATCTTCTTTAATTTTGCCAAATACAAATAGACTAGCTATTATAAATAGACTAGATATTATAACTGTAATTCTTGCTTGATGATTTTTCTGTTATATGTAATTTTTCTATGTTAAAGTTAAAACCTTTCCTTTTGAAAAAAAGAAAAGGGCAAGTGCCGGGGATACTGTGAATGTGTTGCTCTGATTGATTGATAAATAAAATGCTGATTTGCCAGTAGCCAGGCAGGAAGTATAGTGTAGGCAGGATAAGGAGGGAGGAGAATTCTGGGAGGTGGAAGGCTGAGTGAGGAGACGCTGCCAGCCGCTGCAGCGATGAAAAGCAGATGTAAAGTACCGGTAAGCCACGAGTCACATGGCAAGGTATAGATTTATAGAAATGGGTTAATTTAAGATATAAGAACTAGATAGCAAGAACCCTGAGCCATTAGGCCATGCAGCTTTAATTAATATAAGTCTCTGTGTGTTCATTTGGGTCTGAGCAGCTGTGGGACTGGCAGGTGAGAGAGATTTGTCCTGACTGTGGGCCAGGCAGGGCCAGGAAAACTTTAGCTACAAGGTGTGGTGGAGCCTTTACGCTCCGCACTCACAGGAGAGTCTCTGTGAGTTCCAGGCCAGCCAAGTCTACATAGTAAGAAAATAAAGAAGAAAAAAATTTTTTTTCCTTAGGAGACAGCATGAACACAGTCCCCACTACCACAAATTATACAGATGAGTTTCCCACGTTTGGAGAAATCTTAGGGTTTAGCACATCTGGTGTGCAAGGGATGAGCCTTGGCCCGAGAAAACCACCTTTGCGAGCATGGCTTATCCCCTGCCAGGTAAGAATATAAATAAGAAACAATTTTAAAAGAGTAACAATAGGCTAAGGTAGGAGGTGCTTTGAGGTCTGTTGAGTCCAGCCTAGGACACAAAGCAAGACCTTAAGACAAAACTCGGGATGAGGGAGTGAAGGAGGAAAGAGACCGAGAGAAGGAAAGGAAAAGAAACTGAGGTGAAAGGCAGTGGATAACGGGGGAAACGACACCAGGAAGAGCCAGAAACCCTGGGCGACCTCCCTTCTCAATTCAACCAACCTGCCCCTCAATTACCCCACCTACCACTAGCACAAATACACCCAGAAACTCTGCCAGGCACTGTCGGGCCATGAGGCTTCGGATCCGGAGGTGGGTCCTGATTCTTACGCAGCGCACAAGCCACGGTGGGGACACCTGTCTCCGTTCACTGCTCCCTCCATCTGCTCAGACACACAGTTGCTACACATATAATTATTGCCTGCCAAAGGAAAACATAAAGAAGAGACTTTAAAACCAATTATCTCAGCTTTAAAATCATAGCTTCATCTGTGACACGTGTCACCTAGAAAAAGAAAATGGCTTTATCTGATATGTAGAACTAGAATGTAAGGAGGTTGGTCAGGCCCTCTGTCTTTTGCCCTTCATCCCCGCTCCTCACAGGACTGGCTTCCCCCTGGACTGATGGGAGGGACCCTGCTTCACAGATAGTCCTCTTGGTCCTGCAGACAACACTGTAAAGCAGTACTGAGGTAGGCTAGAAAGGCAAGGTAAGAGGGCACAAGAAGGAAAAGCAGCCCCCCACCCAGGATTCTAGTAAGAGCCTCTCAACAGCTGAGGAGCAAGAACCCAACACAACGAGCAATTGCTAAAGGCCCTTCCTTTTCCCAGCTGGAAATCTGTCGCTTTCTAGGGCTCTAACTGGAGACTATTGTGCGACCTCGATGGCCAGTATTACCAGATTATAGTCCCGTAATATAATATGATAATATAAACTTCAGATTATAGTTCCATCCACGGCACCTCTGCAGCTCTAACTCTACTTACCAAGAGAAAGAAAGAGGTTGCTTTTTAAGTGTCTATGGCAACCTTTTGAGACAGAACATGAGCACCACAAAAAAATGCATATACGGGTAATGCTAAGACAATTATGACTCTCCATTGGGGAAGCCGCACCCACACTCAAGCATTACTTTCTGTGACTCTCTATTCAAGAAGCCCACACCCATGCTAAAAGACCTAATAGCCAGGCATGGTGGCACACACCAGCCTTGCTGGTTGGTGGTAATCCCAGCCCTTGGGAGGCAGGAGATGTGGATTTCTGCTTGATCTACATAGTGAAACAGGACAGCCAGAAAGAAGCTATACAGTGAGACTCTGTCTCGAAAAATAAAATACGTTAATTAATTTAAAAGTATTTAATAAAATCTCCGCTCACTGAATATAGTGGTGCATTCCTTTAATCCCAGCAGGGACAGACAGACCTCTGTGAACTGGAGGCCAGCCTGGTCTATATATCGAGTTCCTGGCCAGCCAGGGATATAGTGAGACTCTGTCTTTTTCTGGGGAGGAGTTCAAGACAGGGTTTATCCGTATAGCTCTGGCTGTCCTGGAACTCACTCTGTAGATCAGGCTGGCCTTGAGCTCAGAGATCTACCTGCCTCTGCCTCCCTAGTGCTGGTATTAAAGGTGTACTGAAATTCTTTTCTGCATCAAAACCATGAATCCTGGTTTGATCTCAGTCAGGGTCACTAAAAAATTAGAGAGAACTCCTCATGCTATTGAGAGCGACAGATCCTAGTCTACAGATGAAGATGCTGAGCCCAAGCGTTCCTTCATGACCACACAGTGGCTAAGTGAATTCAAACCCAGGTCTCCTGGTTGTCTGGTATTCTCTGAAGCCTCTCATGTGGAATGTGATATCCCCCTGAGCTACTTGGATGTATGAAGAACTCAACAGACGTCTAGAGACACTGAACTGAAGACCGTAGGCTGTGGTAGTGGACTGAGGACTGTAGGCTGTGGTAGTGGACTGAGGACCGTAGGCTGTGGTAGTGGGACTGAGGACCGTAGGCTGTGGTAGTGGACTGAAGACCGTAGGCTGTGGTAATGATTGTTGATTTGGGTACAGGAGCGAGACAGGGTCTTTCCAGGTAGCCCAGGCTGCCTCGGCCTCTTGAGTGTTAAGATCACAGGTTTGGCTGGGGGTGGTGGCACACACCTTTAATCCCAGCACTAAGGAGGTAGAGGCAAGCAGATCTCTGTGAGTTTGAGGCCAGCCTCATCTGATCTACAGAGTGAGCTCCAGGACAGCCAGGGCTGTTACACAGAGAAACCAGTCTCGTAAAAGCAAGGAAAAAAAAATACAGCGTTTACTTTTCTTGCAAAAGACCAGACTTTGTTTCGCAGCCTGGTCCTCACATCATCCCTAACTCCAGTACCAGGGGATCCAATGCCCTCTTCTGACTTCCAAAGGCGCCAGGTGTATATGTGGTACATGTACACAGAGGCACAACACTCATACACATAAGATGAATAATACTCTAAATTAAAAAAAAATGTTTTGAAGCCGGGCGGTGGTGGCGCACGCCTTTAATCCCAGCACTCGGGAGGCAGAGCCAGGCGGATCTCTGTGAGTTCGAGGCCAGCCTGGGCTACCAAGTGAGTCCCAGGAAAGGTGCAAAGCTACACAGAGAAACCCTATCTCGAAAAACCAAAAAAAAAAAAAAAAAAAAAAAAATGTTTTGAAAGAAGAGAAATTCCTTGAGCTGTGTGACTTAAAGGTTTTTGTGTGTGTTTAGTAAGAGTTTCAATATGCCAAGTCACATCCTCTAGACCTGTAGCATGGGATAAGAATAGAAGCTGTATGGTCTTACTAATAGTAAACGCTTTGGGTCCAGCGACACTGTAACATTGGTAAGCGGCCGGGGAATCTAGAGTTCTTACTTACGTTTTCTGTCCTGCATCCAAGGAAACCCTAGCATACTACCCATCCTCTGGGGGTAGCCGGTGCTAAAGGTTAACTTAAGCAGAGAAGGAAGCCATCTACAACAGAAAACTGGTGCAGATGCAAATGAAGGAGGGGGCCAAGTTCCTGCCCAGCAAGCCACAGAACTTGGCAGCTTTGGTCATGTGGTTCTGACTTTAGAGTCAAGGATAGAAGAAAGGGGTTATGGAATCTCCCTCCATAGCTAGGGAAAGCCACTGAGGCCAGGCGGTGTGTCAGGGGTGTCCCTGCATGGGGGCTCGGAGAGGCCATTGCATGAAGTTATGAAGGTGAAACCTGGATTGCATTGGTGACCTCAAGATGGTGAAGATGCCCGAGTCTTAAGATACCTGCCTTTGGAAAACTGCAGACTGGGTGTGGAACCAGCCTGAGAGAGAGAGAGAGAGAGAGAGAGAGAGAGAGAGAGGTGCTGCAGTCAACAAAGCTGAAAGGAGTTGGAGATCTGAAGAGAGCTTTGACATCAGAACGGAGAGGCAGAATTCGGAGTTTGCCCTGCTGGTTTTTGTTCTTGCATTTCCTCACTGTGCACCATTTCCTCTCTTTTGGAATGGTAATGTTATTCTGTGTCATGGTATGTTGGAAGTAAATGATCTGCTTTTTGATTTTGATTTTACAGGGGGTTTCAGTTAGGAGATTGCCATGAGTCTCAGAAGAGATTTTGGACTTTTAAACAGAGTTGAGACTCTGATAGACTTTGGGAACTTTCGAAGTTGGACTGAATGCATTTTGCATTATGATATGGCTACAAGCCTATGGGGGTCAGAGAATGGAATGTGGTGGTTTGAATAAGAATAACCCTCATAAGCTCTTATATTTGAATGCTTAGTCATCAGGGAGTGGCACTGTTTGAAAGGATTAGAACAACAGTGTAATTGGTTGTTTTTGTTTTGTTTTGTTTTTTTCACTTTTTTGGCTCTTTGCTCTTTTGGGGGCCCACCACCCAGCTCCCAAATAAATCACACACAGAGACTTATTCTTAATTATAAATACCCAGCCTTAGCTTGGCTTGTTTCTTGCCAACTTTTCTTAACTTAAATTATCCCATCTACCTTTTACCTCTTGGGCTTTTTACCTTTTCTTACTTCTATGTATCTTACTTTCACTCTTACTCCATGGCTGACTGTGGCTGGGTGACTGGCCCCTTCTTTTCTCTTTCCTTGATCTTCCTCCCAGATTTCTACTCATATTTATTCTCTCTGCCTGCCAGCCCCGCCTATCATTTCTCCTGCCTTGCTATTGGCTGGTCAGCTCTTTATTAGACCAATCAGGTGTTTTAGACAGGCAAAGTAATACAGCTTCACAGAGTTAAACAAATGCAAAATAAAAGAATGCAACACATCTTTGCATCATTAAATAAATGTTCCACAGCATGAAAGAATGTAACACATCTTAAAATAATATTCTACAACACAACAGTTCTCAACCTATGGGTTGAGACCCCTGTGGGGATCAAACAACCCTTTCATAGGGTTAACATCAGATACCCTGCATATGGGATATTTACATTACAATTTGTAACAGTAGCAAAATTGCAGTTATTAAGTAGCAACAAAGTAATTTTATAGTTGGAGGTCACCACAACATGAGGAACTATATTAAAGGGTTCCAGAATTAGAAAGGTTGGAAACCGCCTTTCCTCAGCTGCTGCCAAGGTGCTCAGTTCTTCTGAGGAAGCTAAGGCCACGTTGGGGTGAGGCCCTCACTTCATCTGGCGACTAGCACCGTACTGGCAGTCCGCAACATGGCCTCTGTCTCCGAGCTCGCCTGCATCTACTCCCTACTCCGCCCTCATCCTGCATGACCACGACGAGGTGCACGGATGGTCACGGGGGACAAGATCAACGCCCTCATTAAAGCAGCTGGTGTCAATGTTGAACCTTTCTGGCCTGGCTTGTTTGCAAAGGCCCTGGCCAATATCAACATTGGGAGCCTCATCTGCAACGTAGGGGCTGGTGGGCCTGCTCCAGCAGCTGGAGCCGCGCCAACAGGCGGTCCTACCCCCCTCTACTGCTGCTGCCCCAGCTGAGGAGAAGAAAGTGGAAGCAAAGAAGGAAGAATCTGAGGAGTCTGATGACAACATGGGCGTTGGTCTTTTTGACTAAACCTCTTTTGTTAACATATCCAATAAAAACATGAACCTGTAAAAAAAAAAAAAAAAAAGAAAGAAAGGTTGAGAACCACTGGATTAGAAGGATTAAGATGTGTGACCTTGTTGGAGGAAGTGTGTCACTGGGGGTGGGCTTTGAGGTTTCAAACTCTCTCTCTCTCTCTCTCTCTCTCTCTCTCTCTCTCTCTCTCTCTGTGCAGATCAGGATATATAGCTCTCAGCTACTGCTGGAGTGTGTGT